TGAATCACGGAAGACTTCTCAACAAAGATGATAGCTGAATTGCATCTTAAAGGATGCACTGGAGTTTGACAAGAAATAAGAAAATAGCTTATAGTAAGTATGATACCTCAAAGGACCAGTTGAGTTTGTATTTTAAATTAATTAAAGATGTGAAAGAATTGGGGCATAATGGGAGATGAAGATGAAGAGATCATTTGGGGTCCAATCAAAATAAGACATGAGTCAGTTACATGCTAAGAGATTTTGTGCAATTCTCTAAAAATATGTGAGGATTTAAGCAGAGGAATGCTACAGTCAAATCTGAACACTGAAAATAACCTTCTTTTTAAAAAAATCATTTTATCGGGGGCTCATACAACTCTTATCACAATCCATGCATACATAAATTGTATAAAGCACATTTGTACATAGACTTTGGGGCCAGGGCTTGGCACCCCATCTGATTTGACCAGAAAACACTCCTAAAGATGAACAAATAGTTCTTGAACTAACTACAAGCTTTTCTTTTTTGTTGTTGTGTTATATTTTTTGTTGTTTTTTTTGTCATTGGCTTTTTTGTTGTTGGGGTTTTTTTGTTTTTCTTTTGTTGCTTGGTTTTTCTCTGTCTTGTTTTTGTGCATGTTATTATCTCTGCAGGTCTGTCTAAATAGGCTGGATGAACAATCTGGAGGAGAAAAAATGAGGTGGGGGGAAAGGAAGTGGTGTTAACAAACCCAGGGACAAGGGAACAAGTGATCCAAATCTGTGATGAGGAGGATGTAGGAGGCCTTGTAGGGCTTAATCAAGGGCAATGTAATCGAGAAGAATGACTGAAACCCAAATGAAGGTTTAGCATGATAGTGGGGCAAGAGGAAAGTAAAAGGAAATAGAGGAAAGAGCTAGGAGGCAAAGGGCATTTATAGAGGTTTAAATAAAGTCATGTGCATATGTAAATACATTTATATATGATGATGGGGAAATAGATTTATGTGCATATATTTATAGGTTAAGTATTAAGATAACAGATGGACACTGGGCCTCCACTCAAGTACTCCCTCAATGCAAGAATATTTTGTTCTATTAAACTGGCATTCCATGGTGCTCACCTTCCAAACACGATTGCTGAAGACAAAGCGGGTGCATAAGCAAATGTGGTGAAGAAAGCTGATGGAGCCCGGCTATCAAAAGATATAGCATCTAGGGTCTTAAAGACTTGAGGGTAAACAAGCAGCCATCTAGTTCAGAGGCAACAAAGCCCACATG